GCAGAGAGCTTGAGGATGGCGGGGATATAGGAGGAGTGTAGCAGGTAGCGAAAACTCTAGCAATCCTCAATCGTTTTTGGCAAAGGAAGAGTCAGTTAGAAGGCTTTGGGGGTGGGCGAACCTAGATATGGTGTTACCTTTAGTGAAAAGTTAATAGATGAGGAGTTATGTAGAAAACGTCGTGCGCGATAAGTGTCGAGAGATGGGTATGGCCGCACACAAAAATGCGAAGTCTCATTCTGTTATTGGCGGAGGCGAGTGAGGGAAGGTGCGTCTTGAAGGTTTCAACATATTGCGAATCCGATGATGCGGTCAGGATTTGCAGAAAGGTGGTGGTACTTGTGTTATAAGTAGATGAGGCTGCGCCCCGGGGAGGAGTTAATAAGGCGGTGTTGTATTTCACCGGGTTTTAGCAGTAGATTCATTCTGAGGTTACTCTCCCAAGCAAATGAAGAAGCTAAGAACGGGTGCAGGGTCGAAGACTTACCTGCTCGACGATGCACTGTTCATCTTGCTGAGGGGAGTGTCCTCCCTCTCTCTCTCTATATGGGCGACTGGACAACGTCGTACGTTTCCATGAACTAGTCGAAGATTCACTCTGATTCTGCTCGTAGAAGCGGAGTAAGGCGAAAGGGTAGATGTTCCCCCTGTGCAGGCACTAAGGGGAGTGAAGGAGCCTGAATGGTCTGGCGGAGAGCTCCGCCCGTCAGTATGCAGCGGTAGGCTGCTCGACTGGTTTGGCCCCATGTGGATGGGAGGAGAGACGTGTACCTGGTCGGCCTCCCATAGAGAGTGAAGCAGGCGGGCGCATTGCTTGCAGACCGTCAAGTGGGCGGATACGGTGGGGCTAAGTTGGATTGTGGGGCATGCTCTGTCCAGGCCGTTGGGACTAGCCTCGGAGGGAGAGTCACCTGCAGCCCGGGCAGCCAGCTAGTAGAGATTTGCAGTTGCGGAGCTGCCAGGGTGCCAAAGTACGGTTTACTGGGCTAATGTTGGCGGGCCACCGGCGCACAAGGTTGTTGCTGATATGACTGAGCAAGCTACCGTTTGCTGAAGCAGCTACGGCCGTGCCAGCTGCTGATGTCTACTGTTGTGACTGTTCTATCCGCTATGGGTTATTGTGTGTCCCGGCTTATTGTGATATTCGGTACTGGGCTGCTGCTATGTGGGCCGTGGGCTGCGTCGACTGTACTGCTACTACGACAGTTGTTGTCCTGCTGTACTTGTTGTAGACTATTTGTCTTTTTGTTGGTGTGACTGAGCTTATCGCCGTATGTCGCTGCGTATGACTGTCGTACACCGAATCAAATAAGGGATATGTTATCTCTAGAGTGGCATGCTCGGGGATTATGGTTGTTTCCTGGTCGAAGGTGTGAGAGCGGAGGTTGAGGGAGAAATTGGGCGGTATAATTAGTCACGGGGAGTGCTACGTTTTTTTGTACTCAGAACATTGCGGGCAGGGTAGTACCGTTCCCACTGGTGGGTAAGCCGCGTGGATATTGAGCGGGTTGCGCCTCCATCAGTCCGCAGGGTTGCTAGTACTCACCGATTGGATGACGACTTTGCCAAGTGTCTTCCGTTGCAGCAGTATCATGCTCACTGTGGGTTGTTGTGCTAGTTGGCGCCCGTATGGATTACTGTGTATTAGTTGTATTTACTGTAGCTGGGCCTGTTTTCCTAACTATGCGCACAAACTGCTACAGGTTGTAGCTGATCCTACTTGCCACTGTGTTATAGCATAACACTGCTCCATGACTGTGTGACTTACTGTTTTTTGAATGCGAGTCTGCTATAGCGTTGTTGAGGTTGTTGCGGCTATCGCACTGTTCTAAGTATGATAGCCGCTTTGAACAGTGGGACTGCGGATCCGTATTGGGAAGTGGAGGTGTAGTATGGACTGCAAGAGAGGCTACCACCGACATTGTGTCTTCAAGGGACCTCTCTCAGTTCTCTGCATTGAGCTCCCGGTTGAGATATCCGGTGTTGCTCTGCTATTTGTGCAGGATGTAGGATGCTTCACCTGTGCTATTATTTGGAACATTTGTTGTAATGGTTACTAAATGCGGGGATTTGTAAAACAACGACGTATTGCTGAATGCGTTGTACCCTGTTGCAGAGACAGTTGCAGTGCATACGGCCTTGCTGTACCATTTCACTGAGTACTCTAGGTTTTTTTCTGTAAGCACTTAGTGTTGTGCTCAGGTTGCAGCCTGGAGAAGTGGGGCAAGGGGGGTTGTTACCGCAGTTTGGAAACTCGTCAAGTGAGCTGGGCTCGACAGTTTGACAACAGATTGACCGACGATCGACAGGGTTGGCACAGGCATATGCTACGGTTGCTGCCGCCGGGAGTGATTAGTGCTGCTGTTGCTGGGAACGAAGGTGTGATATAGAGGGTGAGGCTGAACTGCCAGGGAGGTGCTGCGGCGAACTGAGAAGTCATCAGGGGGTTGGCGTCAACAGTCTAACTGAAGGTTGACCAAGCTGTTACACTTGGCCACCATTGCGGGGCCCTCAAGCGAAAGAAGACTCCAAGGCCCTTTCTCGCGAGTCTGAGTGCACCCCTCTTGCATCTGAGAGACTTAATGATTTTTCTTCTGCCCTTCTTACTCTAAGTCTAGTCCATTGGTTCTGTGAGGAAGGCGGCAGGCGGGATTGCAACCCGTAATTCGCGGGAATGTCTCTGTGGGAGATTCACCCCACCGATTGCGGGAGCTCTGTCGAAACTCAGAAGGAGTTCTAGAGGCAGGGAACTGAAAGGTAACCATTTGCTTTCCCTCTATGAACCCAGTTATAACCCTTACCTGTACATCTTTCTATGTTTGACTAAGTGTATTGCATGCACCCCTACTTCGACTTTGGTTTGACTTTCATAACACGAATCAGACTAAGTAAAGAAATGTATCTGTAATGGCAGTTTCAGTTTCTTATTTGTCTGAAAGCATATTGTCACAAGGGATTGCATCAGGGGGCACGTTGGGAGGAAGACAGTTTTGCTTGCGTTTGAACGGGTCTTATAGGGTCAGGCATTGTTTCTAAGATGAATGACCTAACTGTTGTGTTTTGTTCTATTTTCTGAAGGGCCAAGCATTGTTTCAAAGACGAATGGCTTGGGCGATGTGTTTATTTAATTGTGTCTGACATTGTTTCTAAGATAAATGGCCTAGGTACTTATTTTGAGGGGTATTGATTGCTTGAGTTTGGGGACCAGACATTGTTTCTAAGATGAATGGTCTGACTGCTGTTTATTTTGGGTGGTTTCTAAAGAGTCTCTTGGTTCTGACCTAGGGTACTTTGCTTTTTTTTGTGCTGAGAAAAAGGGGTGGAGCATTGTTTCTAAGACGAATGACTCAACTCTTTTTTATTGTTTTATTCTGAGGCCTGGGGAGGTTCAGGCCAAAGGACTAAAAATTGTTTTTAAGATGAATGGTCTAAGTCTGAGGCCACAGGACTATAATGAGAATAAAGGAATAAAATTATATATATATATATATATAAGAACAAGGCTAGGCAGACATTGTTTCTAAGACGAATGGTCTGACTATAGCCTTATCACAAATGAAGAGAGTATAACTAAGAAATTATAATTGAAGGTAATTGGGATAGGCTGAGTATTGTTTCTAAGACGAATGACTCAGCCCTACGGTTACTTTCGAAGATTAAGTTTAAAGACATATATATATAACTTGGCTATTTAAACAGTTGAGGGCGACTAGACATTGTTTCTAAGACGAATGACTTAGTCATATACCCAAAGAAGAGAGAAGTAGTTGTGCAACCTGTTCGTGTACAACTAAGGCAAAGAGTTGGCGTTGTTTCTAAGACGAATGGTCAAACTCAATGCCCTATGTAAGCAGGGTATAATGGGTTAAATCATTGAGGGACTATGAACTATTGTTTGCCAAAGGCAATTGGGGTTGGTGAGAGTACTTACCCTTGTGGTTTAGCTTGCATGTGGCTGAGTGAGATTACTACCTAGTCTGAGTTTCAGTTTAATAGGTAGTCGCTTTAGTGACTCGCCACGTGCTAGAGCGATAAGAGTTAGATTCAATTCCTGCATTTTCCGGGATAGTTTTTCTACTTAGATCAAAGTTTTGCTTTTTCTGAGATCATTTACTATACTTGGGCTTGAATAAATTTTGGTAATTAATTTTCCTATGGGAAGCGCTGCCGAAATTTCTGCAAATCCAAGGAGTTAGCGAAATTTTGGCTTTTCAAAGTTCAACTTGTCTGAATCTCATACATGGCTTAGTACAAATCTGGGAAGTCTCCTTTCCTATGGATTTTGAAGGAGCTTTGTGAAGAACTTTGCCGCCAAGACCGAGCATTTAAGGAAACTGGTGCGTCAGAATCAGGAATGGGTTTGGGGTAAAGATCAAGAAAATGCAGTGACCCAGATAAAGGGGGAATTCAAGGAAGGAGGGTTGGTATTGGGGGCGCCAAATTATGAAGGGACTGAGGAAAAGTTTTTCATCATGGAGACGGACGTTGGGCCGATTGCCTTGGGAGGGGTCATAATTCAGGCGGATGCTGAAGAAAAGGAGAAGCCGCTAAGGTTTGAAAGTCGAACTCTTAATACGACTGAGAGAAACTACTCCCAGTTTAAAAAGGAGATGCTTGCGGTACTCCATTGCTTGAGGATCTTCCGGAACTATGTTTTCGGCAGGAGGTTCATATTAAGGGTGGATCCAACGGCGCTTGCCTGTTCCCTGAAGAGTTATACGCCTTCTGACCAAACCGTTGTTCGATGGTTGACGTACATATGTATGTTTAACTTTGAGTTGGAAAGGATTCCAGGGACCAAGAACAGGGTCGATGGCCTGAGCCGTGTTAACTGGGACAGCTTGAATCAGGATTCGACCGAAGATACTCCACCAGTTGATGGGTTTTTGGACCAGGAAGAGGACGTCCGGCTCCACATAAACAAGTGGTCCTTGCGAGTGCCCAGTTGTGTCAGACATCCCATATGAATAGCGCCGAGAGGATATGAGCAAAAGGCGGATTTAGTCCTCAAACCGTTTCAGGAGGAAGACCCATGGGGAGGCAAGGATGTTCGTTGGATGATGAAATTGGCGTTCGCGGGTACGCATGGCTTGGCGGAAGAAGTGAGAACGATAGAGGAGGGCCCTACCCAAGTGGAGCAGCATGAGCAGCTGATGGGAGGGATGTATCTGCTCATGAATACGCTTCTGCAAGGGGACTTCGACCGAAAGAGCTCCTTAAGTCCAATGGAGGGCGAGGATCTCGTTCCTAAGAGTCAGGACGATGAGTTCGAAGAAGGGGAGATTAAGGAGGCGTTTCGCCCAGAGGAGTATGATGGGATCTACCTTGAGTTGGGTCTACTCCTGCCCTATGAGATGAGGAACAGGAATGCAAGTGATAAAGTGCAGAGGATGAGGCACCTCTATGTAGTAAGAGATGACCTACGTAGCACCGTGTTCACGTTCGGAGACGAACATGAACATCTTCGCCCAAATGCGAACAAACATCCAAAACCCTCCGAACGCGAACATAAAAAAAAAAAAAAAAAAAACAGTTCTCATAAAAATCTGAAACAAAATATATGTTATGTAAAATAACAAAGCAAGCAACTTTTGCCTTGGAGTCATGTTCAAATTCGTTGCCAATCATGAGCTAAAAATCAAAAACCGAAAAAACAAATAATTTTTTATTTTTATTTTTTTATGAAAAAAAATTATGTTCGCCCGAACATGTTCGCGAGCTGTTCGCGCGAACTCGCGAACACGTTCGCCGTGCTACGTAGGAGATGACCATTTGTTCATAAAATGGCAAGTCGGGAATCCCAAGCGAGTTGTATGTGGGAGGAACCGACAGACCAATATTGTAGCCGCTTTACAATGGTATAGCAGGAGGGCACAAGGAAGTAAATGCCACGTACGCTAAGATAAGCGAGCTATACTACTGGAGTGGAATGTTGGACATGGTCATCAAGTACTGCCAATCCTGTGTTCCTTGCCAAGAGAGATCGGCGCAAAAGCTAGGAGAACCCCTTCACCCGAGGTTGGAGAGAGAGGTTGGCGCGGTCGTACATCTGGATTTGCTTTTTATGCCAGTTGCAGAGAATGGATATAACTATATCTTCGACACTCGAGATAACCTTACTGGGTTCGTGGACGGTCGGGTCATTCGTACGAAGGCCGACCCAGTTTTGGCAAGTTGCATCGAGGAATACTACCTACGATATCCTTTTGTTAAGGACTTCGTGATGGATCGAGGATCGGAGCTCACCTGTAACGAGGTGTAGACCTTGTTTGCAGGACATGGAGTAGTGGCGAATTACACTACCGCTGCACATCCTCAAGCAAATACACTTGTAGAAAGGGGGCATAGTACCATCACGAACCTCCTAGCCAAATGGACGGAAGGCAAGCCCGACCAGTGAACAAAGTTTCTGCGAGCAGCCTTCTTCGGGGAGAATATCACGGTAAAGAGGACTACCAAGTACGCGTCTGTCACTCTGTGGTATGGGAGACACGCCACCTTTCCCATAGAAAGCTTCCTAAAGACCTGGAGGCGCCAAGACCTGGAGACCAACCTGTCGTTCGAGGAATTGCTCGATATTCGGGCGCGACAGGTGGGCGCGGCGGAAGAAAGAATACGGGAGGCCGCGAATCAGGTAGAAAGGAGCCGCATGGAAGATAAGATGCGATGGGATCAGATGGCGTGAGTGCGGAAAGAGCCTTTGGCAGTTGGAGATATCGTGTTGTTATACGATTCTTCCCTGGAGAAGTAGTGGTCGTAGAAGCTCGACAAACGGTGGTTGGGGCCCTATAGGATTGTGCGGTGCGACAAATTTGGGGCTTATCAGATCGAGGAGCTAAACGGGACGGAATGGAAAGACTGGGTATGGGGGACCAGGCTAAAGAAGTTTGTGGCTAGGGAATAGGTAAAAGCCACAATCCCTTTTTAGAGAAACCCTCGTTCTGAGCTTCCCAGATTATGGTTAGGTTAGATAGACAGAAAGAGGGGCCTGATGTGTTTGAGATTGGGTGTGTGTTCGCTCTAAGGCTTGTTGAGCCTGTATGCTGATCCTGTTGTGTGCCTGTTTGTCTCGTCTCGCCTGATGTGCAGGTCTGACTTCTTGAAGACAGCCATGCAGGGGGGGGGGAGGCAGGGTTGTCAAGCCCCGGCCCAAGCCCCGGCGGGGGTCCCGGGGGCCGGGGGTCGGCACCCCTGGCCCCGGTAAAAAAACTAAAAAAAAAAAAAAAAAAAGTTACAGGGGGGTGCGCAGTTTTGGCCAAACTGCAATATTGCAGTTTTGGCCCGACCTCGGGCCCCCCCCGGGGCTACACCCCACCCTCGTGAGCCCGAGGGAGTGCGGGCGCGGGGCCTGGGGCGGG